CCTGCAAGAAATATGAAGGTGGCTGATTCCACTTGCATAGAGAGGCAATGTGCATGACACTTATCGGATATACTCTGGCCCTAACCGGCTGCATTTACACATGCGCTTAACTGTGAAGTAGACTATTGACTGAGAAGTAAAGCGTCATTGTCTACATGTGCAACACTCTTATTAGGCAACAGTAAACTAATTTACGCAGCCATAAGATAGTACTGGCAGAGTAATTAACTGCAGTTAAATGTACGTGTAGATGCTGACTATGGGCATAAACTGTACCCAGTCAGCCCAGCAAGCAGGGGCCCTGACTCCTGCCTGCTGCCTAGTCACATGGCTCTGCATTTTCAGCATCCTCATGCCCCAGGGAGTCCTGCCATCACCATGCAGGGCCTGGGGATGACCTTCTGCCCCAGCTCAAATCACTGCTCTCCCAGATGCACAGTAGAAACTGTGTCTGGGAATAGTTTACTTTGGCTCAAACTTCTCCAGAGTTTATTGCTTAGAATTGACTGCATGTGTAGATGCACCCACTGGCCGCGTCTATATGAGATGCTGACTGAGCAGTAGCCTGAGACTACTGCGCAGTAGTGTAACATGGCAGAAACCATGTCATGATGCTACTGCACAGTAGTTTCAAGCTACTGCTCAGTCAGTGTGACAAAAAAGCGGTTCGTCAGCACTACCATGCAGTAATGCAGGTTACTGCACATTTAGTACTTGCTTAAGCAAGTAGTAGTAACAACTGCGCAGTCAATATCTTGTGTAGACGTGGCCACTGACAGCTAAATTAAACCTAAGTAAGAGCTGGGATTTGGTCCCGATGCCTTTAGGTCGTATTTGTGAAACTGCTCAACGCTGATCGACTTCTGATCCTATAGGCTGTGTTTGTAAAACTGCTCAGTGTTGGTTTACATCTGATCCTGCTAAACTCACCAGAAAAAAGCCTTTTGGTTTCAAAGGGAGAACAAATCTGAGTACTTCTGAAAAAAACCAGCTCTTTGAAAGAATTCATATTTGGGGAATTCTTTACTTGACAACACCCCCATTAAAAATATAGGTAAATATTCTGACATTACTTAATAAATATAGAAAGGCAGGTTCTTCCAAAAGTGTCAGATTTATACTGCTATTACTTTAAAAAAGATCAGTGGAGTTAAACACCAGGCCCACAACAATAAATCCATAGCACCTGGTTTTTTTTGTGGTTTGAAAATAAATTAAAAAAAATAAAAGAAAGAAAAATGATCATTACTTGTAAATAATGAACTGTCATCATCTTCATCCTCCTCCTCTTCTTCTTCCTCTCTTGTATAAAGGCAGGAAGAATCTTCATAGTCAGATTCATGAGGCACATTTTCTTTATTGTCATCACATTCGATCACAACAGTTGGCACTTGTCTCATGTCTGAAAGGCCGCCAGGTCCTGTTTTCATGACACTGTCACCAGAGTGTAAACCAGAGCTAATGGAAAAGAACAAGAAAAAAACAAATTGAGGGAACTAGAATTAACTGCATAGTTAGGGCTGTTTTTCTCCGAAGTCAGGAGTGTAAGGGCTTTTGTATAACTGCAGGCATTTTTTGAGAAAAGAAGGAAGGAGAGAAACAGTTTAGTTATCAACAAGAAATCCAATGGACTAAAATATGATAAACAGAAGAAATTACATTGGGGAATTAAAGGATGATTCAGATTTAAAACTTTAGATAACCAGGACTGAGGGGCAAAGGACCTATATTTAAACACAATTTGAAGATATAATGGAAATCTTCCCACCAGCTCCTTGTGATGATTAAGCCTCCAGTGTGTCTTTCAGCCTCCTGCTGGCACTGAGACAGTGTGGAGGAGGAAGGTAGCTGATTTAGATACAGAAAAGATAAAAGTCAGGCAGAGGAGA